AAGGCTTCTAGTGTCCTGGCCCCACTGCTGGACCTCCTGATGGCACCAAATATCCTGTGTAGCTGTTCTTTTTTGGTAACTGGAGATTATGATTGAAGTTTACTGTATGTGAAGACGTCTTACCAAAGTATGAGTTTGTGCATATTACTATCTCATGCTGTGTCAATGTTAAATAAAAAGTAGTAATACTGAAAACCAGAAGTTATTAAACTATTAGTATTATTTGACTATGCTCACATGCAAGGTGGGGATGACAGCTGTGTGATGAACCACATTCGTTGTTCTGTCATCTTTGATGCAAGCAGTGTGCTTTTAAGTGTCCTTTGAAAATTCTAGTCTATAAGGCTGGCTTTAATACTGAGCAGAAGAAGGGGATGTGCAGAACCCCCCAGTTCCCTTCTGGATTTGTTGTGGCAAACTGAAGCAAAACTCACTGATCTACCCCCAAAAAATCTGAAATAGAGTGAGAATTGACAATACCATCATACAACAGTCATCCACCACTCTCCAATATTATATGCTTGTAAAATATACGAAACATGCACTAAAATATGCAAGGGAAACTGAACTCAGTAACACTGTAACCCTGTAAGCTATGCTTGTAAAATATACGAAACATGCACTAAAATATGCAAGGGAAACTGAACTCAGTAACACTGTAACACTGTAAGCTAGTGTGAAGTGTCTGGAATACTGCAGTGAAAAAATCAAGAGAATATCTTGTTGGGTACACGAGAAACTGCAAGTTAAAACACTTGTGACAGTAGCTGGAAACTGCAGAGCTCAGGGAATGTTATGCCTACAGTTGATGACGTCATGACGTAAGTGTTCAGGCCTTCCATCTACAGAGGGTGGTGGCTCAGCACAGCAGAGCCCAGCACAATAGGGGGCGGGGCTTGCAATCAACAGCACTCCACAGCAACTCACTCAGCCTCACCCGACTCTCAGCTCCCACACAGCAGCTAGGAAGGCAAACGGAGAAAGAAAAATCCCCTACCTTCTATCAGCAACCCACCACGTGCTCTCCACTTCCTTGCCTCAGCCCACGTGACTCAGCTGGGAGAAGGAGAAGGAGATGGGGTAATTAGAGAAGGTGATGGGGTATGTTGACAGTAGGGTATGGGGAGACTGATGGAGAAGGGGTGGGGGCAAAACAGAGGGATTTAGGTTGATGGAGAGAAAGAATGCGGAGAAATAGAGAAGGGGAAGGTTGGCAGAGAAGGAGATGGGGAGATTGATGGAGAAGGTGGGGGCAAAAGAGGAGTTAAGTAGACAGTTAAAGGGATAGTAAGAGGAGGGAGAAATTGAGATGGGGTAGTGTAGGATTCTCCTGCCTGGAGATTGGGAACCCAAAGGTATTTGTGTGCTAACAGCATGAGAAGTCTGGTGATTGCTACGCAGTCAGTGTGACCTTGAGGAGGGGAAGGAACTGATAACAGAGAGCTCACACACACACAGACACACACATTCCAAAAGGATGCTAGAATGCTTGAAACTTTCCTCTATGCAGAGAGAAGGTGGGAGAGAGAGGAGGGGGAGGAAATGGGGGAAAACTGAGCTTATAAATAAATGCTGGGAAACCGAGAGGTGTCAGATCAGCTTCCTGCAGACTTGTGTCCTGTCGTCTTTGCATCGCATGCACCCCTGCACCCCACACCCCAACGAGTAACACCGCAGGGTAGGTTGAGAGAGAAGGAGAAGTAGATTGAGAAGGGCTGGGGGGACAAAAGAGAGAAGAGGGTAGGTTGTGAGGGGAGAGGAGGGAGAAGAAAGTGGGGGATTGAGAAGGGGAGAGAAATAGAGGGGTAACTTGACAGAGAAGGGGAGGGGGAAAGAAAGGGGGAAGTTTGTTAGACGAGGGTTTCCTGCAGGTCCCTGCTTGTGCACTATTGTTCCTTACATGGCAAAACTTGTATATGGCATGCGAGTGGTTTTTTTTACTCCTGAGCACAAATTGAGCAGTGACTTCTCTCTGCCCTGCTTGCTGCTACACGCACAACATCCTGCCTGTTTAGTTTACTGTTTACTGTAATGTGGAGATGTGGCTGCTGGGGTCCTCCTGTTCTTCAAGGGCTTTAATAATAATCTGACCACACATCATCAAAGCCATGATCCCCTGGTACTCTGAAAGAAGAAGAAGAAATATGCACAGGGGCACAGCACTCCTCCTGGAAGACGAATGCATCCTGGCTCGCCCTGTTGCTGTTCTTGCTTCAAAGGGTCAGGACAGCTTTGGAAGGAGACCTCACAGGCAATGGAGGAGGGGGTAAATATAGTTGCCTCCTGTCAGGGAAATGGTTCTGCTGTGACACATCTTGCATTTAGGTTTTCCTGCATGACTTGCCTAAATAGGTGGGCTTATTGTCTGTACTTAACGGCCGTGCCCTTTCCTGTTCCCTTTAGATGATGCCTTAGATGAGGCAACCAGAAAAGAACTTTGCACAGACACCTTCTGTAAAGTGTGTGGAGCCGTCCTGCAGTTTGAATCTCAAAGAGTTTCCCACTATGAGGTGAGCTTTGGGATGTAACATGTGAGTATTTTTCAGTCCCTGTCCCCCAAATGGGCAGAATTCCAGAGATAACCATTACAAGTTCAGTTCCCTTGTGAGGAAGAATCACTGGAGACTTAGAACATTTTTGTAACACCTCTTTATTTTCAAATTGAATATGGGGGGAGCCAACGAGCATGCAGGGAGGCCATGCTGATCTTTGAACCTCCTTCAGTTTCCCCCCAGAGTAAATGTTCTACCCTTGAGGCTGGCTCCTTGCAGCCAACAAATTCCTGCCTCTGCTGGCTACAGTCCAACCCTGGTCTGAAATGCATACCTAGGCAGAACCTTGGTCTCTTTCTCCACTCTGGCTAGTAAGAGTATCCTTGAACTCATTAAAGAAACATTGATTGTCTCTTTGCTTTAATAATAATCTGACCACACATAAGAAGCTTGTTCTATAACTAGATTTTATGCTGTGCTGTGTGACAGAAAAAGTCACTTCTGTCTGTGACTAAAACTCCATGGATCAACTAATGCTACCCCAAAGAAAAGGTTTTGTCTTATCTGTATATCTAACTCTCAGCAGTCCGCTCTACATGTGCATACTTATTTCCACAAACAGAGGGCACGCTCTTTCCCAACAGGTTTTCCTACAGACTCATGATCTGCAGAAAAATCTGAAAAGTTAAAAAAAAACCCCAAAAAAGGGTGTGTGTGTGTGTGTTTAAATTCCCGCCCCCAAATAAAAAGCATTGTCTGCACATGTGCATACAATACATTTGGGGGCCCGGATGATGCTTCTGTTCCTGTGGAGCCGTTCGGGGCCTGACCATGGTGCCAGGGGATGACAGGAACTGCTCCAAGGCCAAGTAGTGGGGAATGCTGGGTGGAGCCCTGGGTCCGGCATAGAACTCTGGGAGAGGCTTTGGGTTCAGCGGCAGCAGATGCCAGGAGCTGTTCTGGGCCTGGCTGCCGCTGGAGCTGCTCCAGGCTTGAAGCAGCTCCCTGGCACCACTGCCGCAGCTGCCAAGCTCAAAGGTATGCAAAAAGAAGGGAAGAGAAAGGGGAGGATTGACTGAGGAGGGGGAGAGAAAGACAGGTTGGCAGGGAGAAAGGGAAATGTGGGGGTATTGGCTTGGGGGGAGAGAAATCCAAATAAGGGTGGGATATAAATCCAAATAAATAAATAAATAAAGAAGGGGGATTGGCTGGGAAAAGGGAAATATGGGGGTATTGGCTGGGGGGAGCAAAAGAAGGGGAGATTGGCTGGGGGAAAGAAAGGGAAATATGGGATGATTGGCTTGGGGGATAGAAAGAAGGGGGATTGGCTGGGGGAGAGAAGGTGAAAAATGGGGTTATTGGCTGGGGAAGAGAGAGAGGAGAGATTGGCTTGTGGGAGAGAAAAAGAGAAAGAAAAAGGTAATTGGGTTGGGGAGAGAAAAAAGGGGGAACAAGACGGGGAGAAGCAAAGGTGGGAGGGTGCCCCCCCTCTCTGCAAGTGTCTTGTTGGTTCCCACTCTTGTTTGCATATAATTGTATTGCTCTGAGCAGGTGTTAGAGCAAGGACTTGGTTGGCTGGCTGGTTTTCTGTAGAATCCCACATCTAACTACACTGCCAGTTTTTGCCTCTTGAGGTTCAGTTGCAGCTTTGCTCTACTAAATATAACTCTTGAGTTCATGGTCAGTTTACAAATGCTTGTATGTTTTGCTGTCTTCATAAAGTCCCAATTGCACTACAAGACAACTGAAGCCTGTTGGGCACGGCCAGCACCAGCACATGAAAGATTTAAGGAATATGAATGCCAAAAAGACTTGATTTTGTTGTCTTGATTTAGCTTCCTTGTGGCTCTTATGAGAGGGAAAAGGCAAGGTATAAATTTTGTAAAATAAAATAAATTGGTTTTTACCCAAACCTTGTGCCATCTTAGATAACATTTGTTGTGGCCTAAGCATTCAGTTGTTGGAGCCCCCTTTATCAGATGGATTCATCTGGATATATCTAGAGCTATAAATAGCAGAAAGGCAGTGGAGGGAAGGAGAAGAGATTACAAAAGGAGGTCAGAAGGCCCCATTCCTCAGGAGACAGGTGTGCTGCTCTGTGTAGTGAGCTAACTATTCCCAGTCCCTGTTGAATTCAACAATGCTGGGATTGAATCCGTACATCTTCCCAACTGGAAAACGTCTTGTGGGAGATCTGAAACATTTCTGCTGAAGAACTCTAACCATTGTTACCATGGTATAGTGGCTAAAATGTAAGGCTAGGGAGACCCAAGTTCAAACCTCTGCTCTGCCATGGAAGCTTGCTGGGTGATGTTGGGCCAGTATGTCAAACTCAGACTCTTGTTTGCCATGTTTGGGGACTTGGGGCCACAGAGGGAGGGAAATTCCTGAGGGGGGGTGAGTGAGCAAGTGTGTGAACGGCTCTGTTGTAGTGGCAATGTAACTATTCTTAAGATACCTCCCTATGCAGGGATAACCTTGGAGATGACGGTGCTTGCTTCGCTGTCTTAGAGAAACAAACAGTATATTCACAGGTGGGGGGTGTAGAGCGTGCAAAAGCTAGGTGGGACGATTGTGGGGTATGATTGGATTAGGGTTAGGGTTAGCAAAACCCTAGGGTTAGGGACAGCAAAACAGAGGGGGCCTGGTTTAAGCTGTCTATAATGGGGGATTTTCCTGCCTGAACGTCAGTTCTGACACAGTACTTCTCTCAGCTTGGAACATCTTTATTCATCAATAAATCACTGCCAGAGTGTGTTGTTGAGAGTAACTTTGCCCAAGAGTCTGACGGAGTGTCAGAACTCCCTTTCTTTGACCGTCATACCATGAAAGTGATGATTGACGAAGGCAAAGAAGTGAAGGAGGGAACCAGCACCTCGACTGAGATTCCAACCCAAGATCCAGAAAAGCAGACGGAAAAGGGTGCAAGGCCAAGGTCAAAGCCAGAGTATATGGGACGATCCAACCTGGCTACACACCCCAAGGGACTGGGGGTGGAAGAGTTGATCCAACCTGGAGTGGAGACAAACCTCCAGGGTGTTTCAAGATGACCCTGAGCATGTGAGAGTGGCCAAAGCATTGAAGGAGGACCTGAGTATCAATCAGGTCTGGGCCGAGTTCCACGGGGAGCTGGAGGAGCTCCGGAGGGGCTTTCAAACCCTCATGGAAAACCTCCTGGGGGTCGTCAGAGAATTCATGCAACAGGGGCCTGATGAAGAGGACGACCTGGCTGTAGGGGGGCCCAAGGAGGCACCACTGGGGCAGGGCCTTGGCCAACCACCATTCCCCTCTGCCGCAGCTCTGCTGGTGCCTGCCCAGGGGCCTGAGAGGCCAAGAGATGCATTGGAGGAGAGGTTTGATGGCACCCCTGAAAAGTTGGTGTTCTTCACCCTGCAAGTGAGGAAGTTCCTATGGGGGGGCACTTTCGCATCTGATGAGCATCACGTGGACTATGTGAGGTCTCGGCTGTGGAATTGCACAGCAGATTGGTTCAAGGGGCTGTTTAATGTCAGAGGCTCCGAGCTCCAAGATGTGGATGCATCCATGCAAGCCCTGTGACTGGCAGTATGAAGACCCGCTAGAGCTGGAGAGGGCAAGAACCCACCTCCAAGGGTTGCAGCAAGGGGCCCGCTTGGTCCAAGAGTTTTCTGATGAGTTCAAGACGTATGCTGTGAAACTCCAGGGGTGGCCTGAGGAGGTGCTCATTGAGTTCTACTGTGCCGGGCTCAACCCCACTATCTTAGATAAGGTCCTGGCTCAAGGCATCCCCCTGACGCTGAACGGCTGGATCCAAGTGGGATGTGATGCCAAGAACAGGTACAACCGGATGCGTATGTATCACCCCAAAACACCAGCAAAGGGGCTTAGCAGGGGAAAGACGCAGTGAGCCCAAACCCCGGGGGTTGGAGGTGATGGAGAGCAACGGATGTGGCTGAGCTTGTGCCTGCGGTGCGGAGCCCCAGGTCACTTCCCCACAAACTGTCCCAAGGAAAAGAGCCCCACTGGGGTGAAGAAAGAAGAGAGCAAGGACAAGAAACCCAAGCTGCCAAGTTGCCACTCTAAGAGACGCCCAAGGCCCTGCAGTCAGAGGCAAGAGAGGAGCTCAAAGGCTCCTTGTCCAGCAAGGGAGAGGTGCCTCAGCCAGCGGGGAAAGGCCAGGACCTGTTGTGAAGGGTGCCAACCAGCAGGTACAAAAGTCATTGGCGTGAGAATCAGTCTCATCCCCCCTCTTTTACTTGAATGTTACTTTAGTTAACCCAGAAGGGGGGACTCACATCAGAGTGAGGGCACTAATAGACTCGGGGTGCACCAAAAACTTAATAAACCCAACCTGAGTCACAGGCCTAGGGGCAAAGGTGCATAAGTTAGAGAAACCCCTAGTGTTTTCTCAGATGGCTGGGACTCCCATGAAAGGCAAAGCTTGCCAGTACGGCACAGTTCAGTTCCCCATGGGAACTGCGCTCTTTTATAGTGAATCCCTCGGCCAAGTTCCCAATGGTATTGGGGACTCCCTGGCTCCAGGCTCATGACCCGTATGTGCAGTGGAGCATGGGGACCCTGACATTTCTTGATCCTCGGTGCAAAGAACACTTCTGGAATCCTGAATGGGGGGACGAGCCCTGCCCCGCGGCAGAGCAAGTCTACCTGGCGTGGGAGGAATTGAATCTCATCCCAGTGGAGTATCGAGACTTGGCTCAGGTTTTTGAGGGGGAAGCTGATGAACTACCTCCCCATTGTAAGACTGACTGTGCGATTGAAATATTGCCAGGTGGACTTCCGGGGGCGGGACCAAGGGTGATGGCTGCCTGAACCGTTGGCTCTGCCGAACCCGATCCTGCTCAACCCCAAAGCTACACTAAACAGCAACGTACCAAACCGAAATATATGGAGAAAGACGCCACGAAACACACACAACCTTCGCTGAAAAAACTTAAAAAGGACAAGAACAGGTCAGATCTTTCTTTAACTGACACTAAAACGGGCCCAGAAGAAAAATCGCCTGTCAAAATGGCGACCGT